GAGTGACTAGGGCACGATAGGGGGCCGGGGAAGAGAGAGTGACTGGGGCACGAGACAGAGAGTGACTAGGGCACGATAGGGGGCCGGGGCAGAGAGTGACTGGGGCACGATAGGGGGCCAGGGCAGAGAGTGACTGGGGCACGATAGGGGGCCGGGGCAGAGAGTGACTGGGGCACGATAGGGGGCCGGGGCAGAGAGTGACTGGGGCACGATAGGGGGCCGGGGCAGAGAGTGACTGGGGCACGATAGGGGGCCAGGGCAGAGAGTGACTGGTGTATCTGGGCAGGAAATGGGTTGGAAGGGGACACAAGTCACTTACCCATAAGAGTCCTGGAAACCATTGTAATGAGCATGATACCCCCGGCTGTCTGCACCAAGGGGGACTCCAGGTTGAGTGGACTCCACTGGTTGTGGTGGGGCTAAAGTGCCCTGACTCCCCTCCTGTTTGTTGCTTGCTCCCCCTTTGTCCTTCCTTTTCTTACGGGGAGTATATTTGTATCCCGGGTAGTCCCGTGCATGCTGGACCCTCAGCATCCTGGCCTCCTCCCTAAAAGGTCTCCTCTCCTCCTCCCCCAGCCCCCGCCAGACCTCCCCCAGCCGCCGGCTGATCTCAGAGTTGTGCATTTTGGGGAACTGAGCTGAGACCTTCTTCCTCTCCCCGCTAGACCACACCATGAATGCATTCATTGGGCGCTTCACCGTCAGGGGCCCTTTCTCCTCGGTGGGGACCACACTCTTTGGCTGTTCTTTGGTTTCCGGGGTATCTTTCATAGTGTGCTCCCCCTGTTGAGGCATTGCTGGGGGGTCTTTAATGGGATTCTGCTGATGCACGGTTGGAGAGACGCTCGTGGGAGATGTTTCTTCACGGTGGTGCATTGCTGTTTGGTCCCTCATTGGATGTTGATCTAGCTGGTGAAGGTCCCTCATGGGGTGCTGGTCCTGAAGGTGAGAGTATCTCATCTGGTGCTGGTCGCTCATGGGGTGAAGCTTCTGTTGGCGAAGATCTCTCATTGGGTGCTGGTCCCTCGTGGGTTGAAGCCTCGGTTGTTGGAGGTCCTTCATGGGGTGCTGGTCCCCCTGTTGGTGGTCCCTCATGGGTTGAAGCCTCGGTTGGTGGAGCTCCCTCATGGGGTGCTGGTCCCCCTGGTGGAGATCCCTCGTGGGGTGCTGGTCCCCCTGGTGGAGATCCCTCGTGGGTTGAAGCCTCTGTTGTTGGAGGTCATTCATGGGGTGCTGGTCCCCCTGTTGGAGGTCCCTCATGGGTTGAAGCCTCTGTTGGTGGAGCTCCCTCATGGGGTGCTGGTCCCCCTGGTGAAGATCCCTCGTGGGGTGCTGGTCCCCCTGGTGGCGATCCCTCGTGGGGTGCTGGTCCCCCTGGTGAAGATCCCTCGTGGGGTGCTGGTCCCCCTGGTGAAGATCCCTCGTGGGGTGCTGGTCCTCCTGGTGGAGATCCCTCGTGGGGTGCTGGTCCCCCTGGTGGAGATCCCTCATAGGTTGACGCCTCTGTTGGTGGAGGTCCCTCATGGGGTGCTGGTCCATGAGAAGGGGGTACATTGAGCAGGTGACCTGTCCTCGAGATTTTCTGTTCTGTGTACTAACTGCTCCCCCGCCCACCCAGTCCTTTAAACAGCCCCCAGCCCCATGAGGTTCCATCCAATCACAGCCAACACTGGCATCCGCCCCGCCCACTCACTATTTAACCCTTAATGTACTCAGTAAAGGCAGCATGAAGCAGCACTGAGAACTTACTATAGATATACTGATATATTGCAACCTGCTCTGCACATATATACTATACTGCTCTGCACATAGATACCATACTGCTCTGCACATAGATATACACTATACTGCTCTGCACATATATATTATACTGCTCTGCACATAGATATACCATACTGCTCTGCACATAGATATACAATACTGCTCTGCACATAGATATACCATACTGCTCTGCACATATATATACACTATACTGCTCTGCACATATATATTATACTGCTCTGCACATAGATATACTATACTGCTCTGCACATAGATATACCATACTGCTCTGCACATAGATATACCATACTGCTCTGCACATATATACTATACTGCTCTGCACATAGATATACCGTACTGCTCTGCACATAGATATACCGTACTGCTCTGCACATATATACTATACTGCTCTGCACATAGATATACCATACTGCTCTGCACATAGATATACCATACTGCTCTGCACATATATACTATACTGCTCTGCACATAGATACTATACTGCTCTGCACATAGATATACCATACTGCTCTGCACATATATACTATACTGCTCTGCACATAGATATACCGTACTGCTCTGCACATAGATATACCGTACTGCTCTGCACATATATACTATACTGCTCTGCACATAGATATACCATACTGCTCTGCACATAGATATACCATACTGCTCTGCACATATAT